TCCGCGTGCGGGGGCCCCGGGGCCGCGCGGCGGGCCCTGCCGCCGCTGCAGGGGCTGGGGCTGTCTGCGTGCATGCTTTGGAAAGACCCGGGAGTCATCCTTTACTGCTAGCGAAGGTGCGGATGTCGGAGAGCTTAGCCGCAGAGCCGAGGGGCGGGATGGCGGGCGATGAGCAGGGTGGTGAGGGCAAATGTCTCCTGTTGGACAAATTCGAATGTATCCCGCCTCCCTGGCACGGGCGAAGCAGCAGCTGCCGGGCAAGGAGACAAGGCCGGATTAAAGGGATACGGTGGGAAAGTGCTGAGTGTTCACCCCAGCCAACTGCCAGGGAAAAGAGTCTCCTGATTTTATTCTCGTCGCTTTTGGCCCACCGTGCCGCTCCGGGCCCGGGGAGCCGGTGGAGCAGCGAGTGACGTTCCCTGCCCAGGGCGAGTTCCCGCAGAGCTGAGCAGCGCCAGGGAGGAAAGTCGCACAGCGAATCCTCCGCAGGCACTGTTCTCCCAAGGGACTTAGTGTGCACCTCTAAGGGAGCCTCTAAGCATAAAACGCAGTGACTTAGCGCTGTGACTTGCGTCCCGGCGCTCAGATTGAATGTTAAATATGAAAAGACGTGAGCCTAATGCCAACATGAGCAAAAAAGGTCTCCGGGGCAGGTGCACAGCTGGCTCAGCAGTCTGCTGGTGTGGAGAAAGCTTTGCCAGGCAGAGCACCCGAGGAGGCAGCCTTCGCCAAACGTCGATGCCTCTGTGGGAGAAGGTGCCCTTCTGAGCCGGGCCCCAGGCTTGCAGCTGCCCGGGCACCACCCCGGCACGCGGGGGGACCGAAAAGGCAGTACGCTGATAGACACGTTAGCTTACGGGTGCGAAACGCGCACAGAGGCGTTCAGGAACCGCAAGGGATTAAAAGCAGCAAAAGCACACAAGCGGGGAAAGGAAGCGGAGAGAGGCGGGAGATGCGACCCGGGGCTCCAGACCGCGGTGCGCGGCCCCCTCCCGTGCACGGCCGCAAAGTCGGAGCAGCTTCGCTGGCTGC